TTTATTTTAATATAAAAATAAAAAATATTTATTAGTAAAATTGAAAACTTTTATATAAAGAGAAAAATTCACATTTTACTATGTTTAATTAGTAAATTTTGATGTTGTTGCATTATTTCTGATTGCCACTGTATATATATATATTTATAGATTTTAAATTTAATTTCAAGAATATTTTGAATTATACAAAGTTTATATAACTAAAAATTTAAATTTACAAATTTTAATTATAAAAAATTTATATAATTAAAAATATATATTAAAATATAAATTCTTGATAAAAAAATTATTTATTAATAAAAATAAAAATTTTATTATAAAGATATAATTTAATTTTTATTATTTTTTATTATTTTTTTGAATTTCTGATAATTTATTATAGAAATATACAAAAATTCAGAAAATATAGCAATAATCAAAAATAATACAATAATATCAAATTTATTAATTAAATATAATAAAATATGAATTTTTTCTTTATATAAAAAGTTTTCAATTTTATTAATAAATATTTTTTGTTTTATATTAAAATGAAATAATATTATATATTTTAATATATAATTTTTTCAGATTTTTTAGATTTAATTTGATAAAGCTATTTAATTGCATATAAAATCAATATTTTTTATAATTAAAACATATAAAAAAATAATTAACTTCGGATTAAATCTAAAAAATCTGAAAAAAATTTATATTTAAATATGTAATATTTTTTTTATTTTAATATAAAAATAAAAATATTAATTATCAAACTTTTATATAAAGAAAAAACTCATATTATTTTGAACAAACTTCTTGAATTATTATTTTTATTACTTAATATTTTATGTTAATATATTTAACTTATAAAGTTTTTATAATTACTAGTTTAATATATAGTAACTAACAAAATCACGGAATTAAGCATGCAATTTTATTTAAAACATAGTAAAAATTATCATATATGTTATATTTTAATATCTATTTTTATTTTAATATAAAAATGAAAAATATTTATTAGAGAAAATTTCTGTTTTATTTGAATGATTTTATAATTATATTTAAATTTTGATCACAAATTTTGGATGTTTTAATTTGATGTTCATTAATAATTGAAAAATTATTTACAAATTAATAGCCTTTAACGAATGTTCAATTATTTAGCAAACATTGAAAAGAAATTCTTCACATAAAATCACATAAATATTAGTTCAGTATGAAAAGTTATAATTAGTTTCAGGGTTTCCAAATAGCATCTAAATCATCCTCCGTTATTTCACTATCGCTTTCTTCTACTATAATAGAAATCGAAATTAATACAATAAAAGATTCCATTGCATGTTGATATAAAATTAATTCATACCTTTCTCATAAGGTATATCGATATCCGATATTTTATCTGTTTTTCTTAATTGTACAATAAAAGCTGAATGCGGCGATTGGGCATGATCAGGTCTACATATCCAAACATTTTCATCCTCATCCTCTGGAGGAGAGCCATCAACATAATCTTTCACATTACTAGCATTTTCGTAACTGTCCTCTTCGTCATCTTCAACTTGTTTAGGATTTCCTGATTTAGGCTTTTTCTTCTCTAGTTGCTTGTCTTTTTGCTTCGCTTTGATAACAGTTGGTCGAATATCCCAATTTTTCCAGGTTGCTTCAAAAATCTTTCCAGTGCTAAGCTCGTATCCTTTGGTCTTGATTTCCATCAGCAATTTTAGCACTTGTGTCATATTTGGCAAACAACATACAATAAAACGATCATTTTCTAACCAATTCAGAATTGCTGGTAATTCTTTTTCTGGTTCAGCCATGTCCAATGCTACTCCATCATATTTTGGAGAATCCGAAGGCAAAGAATTGAGCACTTGAGAGATGGTTCCCTCGGAAAAAGTGACATATGGCGAATACATTCCACGACAATATTTTGCGATATTAAGTTTTGCTCTTCTTAAATATTTAGGATCCTTCTCGATCGAATGTACACTTCCAGCTGGATATAAGGCGCGTGCAAGGTAAAGAGTCAAAGAACCATTTCCCGAGCCTGCCTCAAGAATATACGAATATGGACGTAGATCTAAAAGTGATACCTATAAAAGAATTAGAATGTAATAAACATCACTGAAAATTCAGTTTAAATACAAACCATAGCGGCTGCCTAGTAAATAAAAAAACATAGGTAAATAAAAATCTCGCTTTAAAAGTATTCTGCTTATTTATAAATTCTTACGTCTTTGGTATAAATAGGTGTAGTATGTCGACGCATCAATAAAGTGTACCTAGAATGCATCATAAATTTTGAATTAAAAGATTGATAATTATATGCTAGTAAAGTTGAATATTTATTCATACTCACTCGTCTAATGTCGGAATCTGAACCAAAAAACCTTTACCTTTAATCATTTTTAGAAACTGTATATTAATTTAGTTGTATGGTCAGAAAATTGCAAACACATAATTAACACCATACCAATATGCGTCCTGAGTAGTGACCGGGATTTTTGTCCAATAATTTGATTATGCGTTAAAATTCCTTCATGATTTGCAATTACTACACCGGGAGTTAGCGGACCCACCAATCTGACATTTTCTGCACGACGACCTCTTCTCACGGGATCTCGTACGATGACCATATCACCAGTTTGAAACACTGAAAAATCTGGAAATTCCTCTTGACTTGAATTAGATTCTTCCTCTGTTTTCTGCTCATCTTTAGGATCCTCTCCAATATTCCCACTTGATTGTTGTTCATGATCTGTGTTTTTATTGATGTTTTCCTCTACTGATTTTTGCTCTGCAATCTGGCTGATATTTTCGTCATTTGTGATATTTCCTTTCTGATGAGGAAATCCTTCGATAATTTCTTGATTAATAAGGATATTTTCATTGATTTCTTTTAAATCTGGAATTTTGTTTAATTCATTTGCAGATGTGAAATTTCTCGAAATATTCAATCGTAAATTGTTATGTAAGAATTGATTCTGTAATATTAATTGTCGACGTTCCGAAAGTAGCGTTAAATTTTTCGATAGACGAACAAATTGAAAGTATTTATTCCTATAGCTATAAGCTATTAAAGGCTTATAGAGCCATAAATTTTTTATTTTTGAAAAAGATTTATCGCGACGATGTAACAAAATTGAGGTTGTTTTTGTAGCAGACATCAAGTAAAATTTTTTATCGTTATGGAAAGTCAATCTGACTCACTCAATAGCACTCCTGGGTTATGCCGATCGTGTTGTAGCACACGACCAATCAAATCGCAAGATATGGGCAAAATTTCGATATACGTACATGTTTTGAATTTACATCACACACTGATGCATGTAAAGGTGTCAATATCTCAAAAATGAAAATAACATAATTTACCAGTTGATATCAAAAATATCCTTTGTTTAGTGACCCGGAGCGTAACTTTAAAGCTAAATTCTTCTTTTTAATAACGTTAACGTTAAAGATTGGTTATCGTTATCATTTAGAGTTAAGATTATATGTAAAATTGCCTCCACAACATTTTTAATTAATTTTCATTTTCTTGTGCCGACATAACCTGGTACATACATGTATTAAGTTCGCTTTTCCCACTTTGGGTAGTTGACGTGGCTAGGGAAGTTGTGGCTAGGGCAGTGGGCGTGGAATTTTATGTACAGGACATCCTTTCGTATAACACGATGTCGCACTACTACATTTGCGTCACTACGGCAAATGGGTAAGTGACTACGTATACTACCTTTGGTTTCTAAGATGAATGTAAATTTTAACGTTAAGACGTATCAGTATCTTAATCCTCTTAATCTATAGCGATAGCCAAACAAGAGTTTGTGATATACGTACGTATCAAAAAACAGCTGTACCGCCGATGAATGTTTGTTAATTTGTTAATACGTATGACCGTATTTGTTAATACGTATTGACCGTATTTGTGGACCGTAGTTGCATGAAATTTTTTTTATCGATAATTTAATATAGCCATTCACGGAATATCAAAATGTACATGCATCAGAGTTTCTCAATGTTTCGTGAATATCGATATTTTTAGAGCAACTTATCATGACAATGATGTTGATCATTACCGTTATATTCACATGTGACTAAACTTCTTCCGGTCATTATCGAAATTGGTCGTGACTTTCTATACCGATACATCTTCATGCATAACCTAAAAAGCAACAAATAAATACATGTAAACAATGAAGACATCACGATAATAATTTCTACTGGTATCTCTTGAGTGTAACGTTATCTCTCTCCTTTTTATACATGTACATGTACATGTACTTGGATCCCCATCATCGCTTGCGTTTACTTCTAGTAAGAATTTCCATTTATCTTTTTTTAAATTCATTTTGGTATTATCTTTATATTCATCTTTAAATAAAACGTTGAACCGACCGTTCTTCACGAACTCCTGTTGCTCTCACAACAGTAATAATATTCACCACTGCTAGTAATAATAATATTAAGAATAACATAATACGATAATGGTAAAAAATCAAACCCCCGTGGCTATAGTGCAACAAAGTCGTGAAGAAAATCACAGAATTCGATTACCCAGGCCAAAAACCTTTGCAAGTTATTCAAGAGCTAATGAATTTGACAACTGCAAACCCAATATGAACAACATCAATAACAACTACCTCAAACTCAACGACAACAACCACCTCAACAACAACAACAACAATACTAACAACAGCAACAACGACAACAGCAACGACAATAACAACAACAATAGCAGCAACAACAGCAACAACAGCAACAGCATGGGTAATAAAGAGAAAAATAAATTCGCCAGATACACATTGCATGGAAGTTCAAATTTCGAACGTTACAAACGAGACGAAAGTAACGAAGAGGGAGAAATCAACCTAAGAAGAAAATTCAAATCAATGCTCCAAACATCACGTTCTCTATCAAAAGAGAAAAAATTTTCATCACCCGGAATTATCAAAGGACCGAGATCTTGGCATCCTGCACAACGTCAGGGAATACACGCGATGAAACATGGACACTACGAGCAAGCCGTTATATATTTCACTAGTGTATTGGAACAATACCCTGATAGCTATAGTACTCAATGTGATCGAGCAACGGCTTTCTTGAAACTCGGATATTACGATCGAGCCTTACAAGATTTGGATTCAGCTTTTCTACGAAAACCAAATAAATCACGCGTCTGGTGTCTAAGAGCTGAAGCGCATTATCATCAGAAACGATACGAAGAAGCATTAATTGATCTGGGTAACGCGTTGCATTTAGAAACCGAAAATTACGAGGCTTTGCAAATGCGTGCCAAAGTGTTACGAAAATTAGGTCGGTATTACAATGCAATCGAAGATTTGGAAAGAGTGATAAAAGCTAATCCCAAAAATGCCTCAGCATTACAACTACGTGGCGAAATTTATTGTCTCATTAAACAGTATCTTGAAGCGATCCCGGATTTAACTCGAGCATTACTATACGGACACGATAATCAGATATCAATATTGCAAACGCGCGGCAATGCTTATCGAGAACTTGACCGTTTAAGTGAAGCGTTACATGATTTTGATAAAATATTAAAAGAAGTGCCAAACCATGCAGAGACATTAATTCAGAGAGCTGAAATTTCTAACTTAATGCATGATCCAAAAAATTGTTTAAGTGATTTAACACGAGTCATACAATTAGAGCCACAAAATGCTTTAGCTTATACTAAACGAGGATTAATAAATATTCAAATGCGACAATACGAGAGAGCTCTTTGGGATTTAAATACCGCTCTAGACATTAAACCAAATTATCCATATGCATTAAGTGTTCGTGGTGAAGCTTATCGTGAAATTGAACGTTATGAATTTGCTCTGCTTGACCTAAATAAATGCTTAGAACTTGATCCATCAGACTCGATTCGTACTTCCGTTTTGATAAGTCGTGCGACCGTTTATCAAAAATTAGCTCGATACGAAGATGCATTAATCGACTTGAACAACATCTTAACAAAAAATCCCAAGAATGCCGAAGCACTTGCAATTCGAGGTGACGTTTATAATCGACAGCAAGAATATAACAAAGCTTTAATAGATTTCGAAGAAGCTCTTAAACTTGCACCAAATGACCCTGATACATTGAGATCTCGGGGTGAGAATTACGCTATAATGGGGCGAAATCAAGAAGCGCTTCTTGATTTTGACAAATCTTTGGGGATTGTGTCGGATGACGCATGGACATTATTATTACGAGCTCGAGTATATTATCGTCTTGAAAGATACGAAGACGCACTTAATGATCTTGACCGAGCATTACAAATTTATCCCAAGCAATGGTATCCATTGGTAATCCGTGGTGCTGTTCTCCGTTCCATGAAACGTTATAACGGTGCACTCGCAGATCTTGACCAAGCGTTAACTTACACCCCAAATGATGCAATCGGTAGACAATTTCAAACACAAGCACTTGCAAATCGTGGTGCAGTGTTAAGGATTATGGGAAGACACGATAAAGCAATCCACGATTTGAATAGAGTTTTAAATCGTGAACCAAATAATGCGTTTACATTAAGCCAACGAGGAGCTGTATTTCGATCAATGGGTCGATATACTGAGGCGTTGGTTGATTTAGAGAAAGCGATAAGTTTGGATCCACAAAATACATTTGCTATTGTTGAAAAACAAAAGGTTAGTCGTGTCACTAATCGTCAACCCACAAGACTTTCGTATTCTAGTTAGAAGATTATCCCATCACTATTTTTTTTTTTACATATGTATACTTTCTAGCTAGAAAGCATTTTGTGTATCATATTAATTTTATAATGTATAATTTTTGTGTTTATATTCTATCAATAATAATTTGTATTTTTTGTTGTCGGCTTATGTTTAACGTTAACGTGAATAATTATCATCAAAAAGAACAATTACGATTTATCGTTATAATGAAAAATGAAAAATTTTATTATCGTAATCATTGTATTAATAACTCATCACGTGGTGAGTAAATATCTTTTTTTGCAGAATTGACAGTGATGAATTATCGAATTAAAACGAATACATGTACATGTACATGTAAGTAACACTGAATAAAAAGATAAAAAAGTTGTAATATAACAAAGAAGTCTGTAAAGTAAATGAATTCTAAGTTAACGATGCTGTAGAAGAATTCTTCGAAGTAGTCAAGCTTCCGCCAGCATTGATACTACAGTCACTAGCTCTATTTCCACCACAAAATTTTCTTGTAAGAGATCCACCATTTACGAACACTACTTCCAAAATCACTTTATTACGGCTCTATATCACATATAGTGATTGAATGTAAAAGAATCCTGACTTTCCAGATAAAAGCAAGAATTTGTAGCTTGGTGCTACATCCAACTTCCAGACAACACTGTATGTGTGTTAGCAATTACGTAACGTCAACGTTAATGATGAATCACTTTAACCAAACGCAAATTGTAAAAAACTTCTATAATAAGGAGCATGATTAAGCTTAAGACTAGAGGTTCCGACTTCATTGAACTTCAACCCATAATATTTTGACAATGCGATATTGCGATACAAAGTTGCAATATTAATTAATCTATAACGATAATAGAAAAATTAAGAAAGTGCAGAGAAACAACAATAGTGTTGTCGCTTATTCATTTTTCATTTCTAGTCGAATTATATAATTTACATACAATATCGATATTCTTTTTTATCGTTATCGTTATACATGTATACCGAACAGTATAAATCTCATTGTCTAATTTATCGTTATACGATAAAGTGTGCCATTCTTTACACAAGACGTGACTATTCTCTCTATGAATTTATGACTCTCCTTTTAACACAACAATAACGATAAAACACACACAAATGGAAGTTCTATAAATGCAGTTCTATGAGTATGATGAATATCTTATCGTTATATAAATTATCTTATTTTATTGGTTTCACTGTCATAAATAAACACACATAACCACTAAAGTGAATTTAATACTCATTATCGTTATTGCCGTGAATGTCCTCGTTATCAAGAACTCGAGTACTACGAGGGATGTACCCTTATGAAAAAAATGATTTTATCAAAGAAGTAATTTTGTTTTCAAGTTTTTCCAAATGCAGCAGTGTTCGATATTATGGAGTGAATACTCAATATGGTGAGCTACACAAATGTATCGATATTGTAAAATGGTCTATGCAAATAGGAGAAAAATTCGAATTCACCTCAAGGAATTAATGTGGTATATCGATAGTGCTTTGATTGTCGATTTTGGACTTACCAGCCGACTAATTTAAATAAATCTAATCAAGAGATTTCTGGGCACTTCTTACATGAGTTCATAGATACTAATGAAGAGACATTTATAGATTATGTTCGAGATTGTAACAGGATAACTATCTTCTATGCGACATTTATAAATGAGTACGACCTAAGATACCGAATCGTGGTGCAAATTCGTTAATGGGCTTTATCGCATTTATCCATGACATCAATGAGGGGTGGAATTGAATACTTTGCATTTTCAGTACTACAGCTCTAGAATATAGAAAATACATGAAGAAATTAGAGAGCCTTAAATTAGAAATGCAGAATTGGGAAGGACTTGACGAGAAGATGAAATTGCAAAAAAGTAATTAATTACTATTTTTTCTTTGGTATTGGAAAACAGAATTTGATGAAATTAACAAGGATGAAGACATCTTGAGTTTCTTTCAAGAAAACTTACAACTTCATGATGAAACACTTCCATAAATAAGACAATAAGACAATAATGCTTCTCTTTGTTAGAAAATGATAAATACGTTACACTTTGACCATAATTTTTATTACTGTTATTTAATTAGTCGGAAGGAATTAGAGATTATGTCCGATATTAACTGGTTTGAGTTAAGTATAACGATAACGACCAAACAGTTTGTATTTACGTATTTGTTCTTTTATGCATACGTATTCTTTATGCACTGTCAGTGGCGCTGTATTCGTTAAAATCAAATGTCCTCTAGTCAAACCTTGTAAGCGTAATCTGGTCTACAGAAGCTCTATGGCTCTTTCTTAATACAACAATAAACAATCGGTAAGTGATGATTATGCAACTTTTAACAATAATTTCATTCACACAAACTTGCACAATTGTGCATCTGAATTGTCTACTATAATTTTTTTGCTATAGTTATTAGCGAAAATAAACAAATACATGATTGTTCTACTTAAGCTATCGCTTGTTTTCTTATACCTGTCTAACCAAGTTATCATTTCGTAACGTTGAGCTTGACAGAATAGACATGTTTAGCTGAACGAAGTTGGATATGAACGTTTGCGAAATATTTAGGCATTTTTCGATTTGTAGATTAGACTGGGTGGAAATCAATGACGCCTAAAAAACGACACACTCTATTCCACGTTCAGGACTCTACGCACAAAGATTTACGCCAATTTCAAATTTGCGTGGTTTGTTGGAATGATGTCATCTATCTCTAAAGCAAAAAATCCAGGTCTGTTAACGTTACCCATATTTACACGTAAGAATTTCACATGAAAAATGACACATTACGCCTACAACATGCATAAATATAAACGTCATAAAAAGCTTTGATGCGTTCAGTCTCATTTTTTATGCATGACGTTAACACGGAACATGACTATTCTTTTAATACACACACGCATGGAAGAAGTCTTTTCTATGAAATTTGGTCTCATATACACAGTAACTCTCTTTATAGTGTATCACAAAAAGCTACATGTTCTAGCAAAAAAATTTTCCATTATATCGAGAGTTTTTGAAAATTTATTAGTAAATCTACTATATCGAGTGGATTCTATTAGAGGCAGTTTTGGTTATTATCCACTATCGCTATATCGTGAGTTTAATAACGGGGGTTACACTATAAAGAGAGAGTCATTGTGTATACACGTACATGTCTGATTTATTAATCACCAATTGAATGTTGTGGCGTAATGTCTATAAAGGAATAGCGATAAATCATTTCAAAATCACAACTAAACGCTAAGGGGAGTGGCAGATACGTATTAGCGTTAGCTAATATCTCATAATATAATATCACGTGCGTGTGTCAAGTGATATCTCAGAGGGGATCTCCAATAAAATGGATAAATTAACAGGGTCGAGGTAGTTACACGTGATATATAATCCGATCCGTATTGCAATCATGTGACCAAAATTGAATAGCCAATAAAATATTAGTGTTAGCTCATCAGTGGCAATGAGCTTTAATATTCATTGAAAAAACCCACACTAAAAGAACTAATTGTAAGGTTGGTGAGCAATTTTATAGTGTTTCTGGTTGACAGCAAAATAAACTGAACTGACCAATAAGAATTTTATTTGATTGTTGCTAACATTGTTAAAATCGATGTTTCAAGACCACTTTCACCCAAAGACTCCCATTTCATCTGAATTCTCAATGAAAAACATCAAACACTCACCAAAAGAACCCATTGGATCCGGTCGCGATGAAACCAACATGGAGAAAGTGGACATCTGGAACTCTTACTAGCCCTAACCAATACTGGTGATCTCAGAAAAATGCCAAGAAAAACCAGTCAACTTTGGACGCTTATATTTCTCCAAATATCCAACCAATTTTTGTGGTCCGATATAAAGAATGTTCATCTTGATCGGGCGAATCAAACGAATCTGAGTTCGCAAAATTCTGAATCAGCGAGATATTGTTGCCTCACGATCCATCTGTCATTTTGCGATTTTTCATGCTCTGACTTGGATATCTTCATCAATATTGTTCCGATTTTGTTGATCTAAATATTCACCTTAATTATAGAACTATAGATCGCAAAGGGCTGCTCATGTGTTCAGAGACATGGCATTCAACGACCTGATATGAGACCAAATCGGAAATCAGTCAAAATTTGCGACATCAGCAACGAAATTAAGAAACTAAATGTCCACCAATGAAAGAAATGTTAAATACTTACATTCAGGAAACTCAGTATGAAACCAAACTGGAAACCAGTCGTGTAAGTTGTTAGTTGTTAAGATGAGTTTAGCCGTCAGTTTTGTTTCGCTGGTATTGCGAATTTCTCCAGGTTGCGATCCGTTTCCAATTTGATTTCATGTCATTGGTGTTGTAAGTATTCGGTGCTTCTTTTCGCTGGTGAGGATCCCAGCTGGAATTTTGCTGGGCCAAACCACAAAACAAAAGGCATTTGTTTTGATAACGATGGTGGTGTTATGCAAAATTCAGCCAATCATTGAATGCGTTACAGATCTAGGTCATGTGTATTAAGTCAATCCGGATAATTATAAGATTATCCAGGTTGACTTAATCCTTAATTCACTACCTTGCTTTAGTGTGCCTCTACATTAACGTTGACGCTAGCGCTAGTACGTATTTTATTAAAGGTTTGACTTACAGCCTCACCTCGATATAATCACTTTCGATGTAAGAATAAATACACTTTTTTAATTATAAAATATAAGTAATTTAACTTCTTCACACCCAATTTTGTTTCCCAACCCTGTGACTATATCGAGGCGCGACAGCAATTTTTTTGATGTGACTAGACAAACGACAACACGTGTTAAACGAAAAGAATAACTACATGTACGTATTTGCCAATTGTTAGGATCAATAAAAATGACATCGACTAGATTTAGGAATAACTCATGAATATAATAAATAAGATTTTGATAAAAAGTAATGGTTGATATATGCGTAAACGATAGAAACCGCTTTTGTTCGTTGTGCTTTAGCTCGAAACATAATTAATATCG